GCATTTTAAAATTGTTTTTAAAAGTGACTTAAATTGCTGATTGTAGAGAAGGCTTACACACAAAAAGAACAAAATATACAGAAATAAGTTTTCAGGTTGACCAAGTCATCTAAAAATATATTAATTTCATCATAATTAAGTATGAACAACATAAATATTCCACACCAAAAGCAATCTATCTATATATATAAAGAAATGTTCACTCCCTCATGCCTCTGCCACGTCAGTAATTAAAGGAAGGAGAACAAGACACGTGTCTCTCACATATTATATTACGTTTTGGTTACCACGCTAATTTGGCATTTACATCTTTATATTTTAGTCTTGGGCTTAAGTTATTAATTTGTTAAAAACCCAGTGTGATGAATCTGAAAAGCATATAGGGTTCATTGTCTTCGTCGATATCTAAAAAGCTTAAGCGACAATGGCGTCTACGGAGGGTTTTCTGCGACGAATCTACATGGTGAATCTCTTGATCGAGTTCCCTTTGTTCCGTATCGTTTGGGATTCTTCTCTTACATACTGTTACTAAATGCATTAAATTAAATCTCAACTCTTCGACTACCTCAAAACAAGGCGGTGGATCTCAAGCTATAAAAAGGTTAGTTTCCATGCGTAAACATCATCCTCCTAAATCCTAATAACACAAGTAACTTCTATTCCGCTAGCATCGTTAACTGATCTATCGCTTTCGTTCCTGCTCAATACTTCGACGACACTGAGCTTCCCATCCGGAGTTGACTCCACCGCAGACGGCAATCGAGGAACAGCGAGGATCAGAGCTAACGGCGGAGATGCCAAAAGTAGAAAAACTGGTGGAAGAGGCGGCCGAGGAAACACCGATGTAAGGTACAAGTATCGGTCGTCGGTTCCAGCTTCTCGGAGTGTGAGGGAGAGTCCACTCAGATCTAACTAAATGTTCAAACAAGTAATCAAATATTCTGCTCTTTTCTGTTTTGCGTTTAAAAATTGGTTTTATTTCAGTCACTTAAATTCTGAAAACAGAGAATGTCTATGTTAGCAAACGATTCAAACCAAAAAGGTCTAGGCTTTTCAATCTATAGATTCATCAGCGAAACCAAAGTGCTCTCTTTTTTATATTTTGTTTGTGGGTCGAAAGTATTTAAGGGCTAAAGAGATTACAGCTAATTAAGATCTCAACGAAGCTCCATGAATGTTTTAGCTCCAAAAAAGGAAGTGACTTTCTTTCATTTCACTAACCCTTCAACGCCATTGTTTGGAGAAAGTAAGTTCGGAGAGAGAGTCTTTAGAGAAAGAAGGTAAAACCGTAAAAGAGGTTACTTTGATAGGCAAATTCAGCAGTTTCGTAAAAGGTCAAAGCTTGGTCCAAAGCTCAAAAACGATGCAATTTAAGGAGAGAAAAAAAAAACAAGAAAGAGTGAGTGAAGAGAGAAATTAATTTGGCATGTTATATATATTTTATATGTTTTTTGCACAGATGATACTAACATGGAACCTGGTACAATGACATTTGTTAATTTTATTTTTCTTCTACCTCAATGTATAAATAAAACTACTTTATTTTATCATGTTGTATCAAGTGAACAATTAATTATTTTTTTGAAACACGAAAATTTAATTATTTGTCCGACAAAACATAATAAAAAGAAAGTATATCCTCTAAAGCGACCAAACATGATCAAAGGCGAAGATTAAGTTGGCTTAGCATAAACAACGAAAGAACTGTTTTAAGCCTATGTTACTCTTTTTCTTTTAACTATTGTTCTAATTTGTGTTTCCATCTCTTTTCAGTCATCAGTCACGTTCACAAAGTACTGAAAATGTAAGAGAAGATAAACATAAATTAATTTTGTACTATCGTTCATTCATCAACGGTGCGTTATACTCTAGTGGTTTATCACAAAAACTTAATTTAGTTGTCTCTCTAATTCGTTTTCTGATAAGAGGTCTCTCGGGCCTTGCCACTCATTTTTCTGATTGTTTCAAACATTTTTCTGTAATCCTAAGAAATCTGTGAAAAAATGATTTTATGTCTAAAACATGTTATCTCTTGCATTCCAAAACCTTTTCAATTTTTTTCATGTTTCCAATTTTTAAATTTAATAATTATAGATTTATTATGACAACAAACAATACAAAACCAAAGTGTTTTATTTTCTTTTAGAAATAATTAATATAGAAAAAAACAACAAAGAACTAAAAGTTAATTAAAACTAAGATTCAGAAATAGTTGAAAAATTAACAAAATAATTTTTTATTATGAATATCAAAACAACTACAACTTTGTAAAAGAAAATGACAAGAATGCAAATCTAAACTACTGTTTCCAATCAAATTTTTATAACACACCCAGTTTTAGTATTCAAAGAATAAAGAGATACAATGTAATATATAAATAAAAACATATAACATTCAAATATTTAAAAAAAACGCATTATAAATCACATGAAGAAAAACACTACAAGATAAATCAAATGAATTTTTTTCTTAAACAAAATATACAGACTCATGTTTCATTTTCCGTGTTAAAGAAATTGGCCACAAATAATACAATACTAATAAATTACACTAATTAAAGTGAGAAAATATAAATAAAATGGCTAACCTATAAATTTAAAAATTATTTTTCAAATTATCATCTATGTTGACTTCATGTACTACTACATTCTCCTATTATAAGTTTCATCGAGAATGACAATAATAGTAGAAATCAAACTAAATAATCTAAATAAAATACACATACCAAAATATTCACACTTCCAACATAAAAATAATCCATCAAATTTTAATATTATATTGTAAAATTTAGCTAATCGCAACGTAATACAGATTCAATATCATAAAATAAAATAATTTTAACCGTAAAAGTTGATAATTATAATAAGAGAAATGAAAAAAATAAAGATTGAAATATAATATATAGTAAAAAATTTAATAATAAACATAAAATTTAAAAAATATCTAATGTTTAATAGTGTTTTGTAATTTAAAATTATATGTGCCTTATTGGTATAGTTAAACTAAAATAAGCAATAAGAAAAATTAAAAAGTTATATTTTACAAATTTTACTATAATTAGATAAGTTAATAATTTCTAAAAGAAAATTTAAAAATACAAGATAAAATTATATTTTAATGGCATTTTTAGTTAAAGTATATTAAAAATTATAAATATTTTTTTATTATTCATTTCTTTGTTCGCCCGCCCGTAGGGCGGGTTTACCCTAGTACTTTTATAAGCAAAAGGCAAAAACATGACATTAAATTATCATTCAAACTCCTTTCCTTCCTGTAAGATTTTTTCTAAGCAAAGAAAACGTAAAAGCGTTGACAACAGGAACGAAAAGTATATGCACGGCAAAAAGAAATCTGTTTTGACGGAAAATACAATTTTGTGTATTTGGCATAAGACATAATATTTCGGTTTCCATAAAATAAAATAATTCAGATTTTAGCAGAAAAAAATCCGATTTTGCGGGTTTAATGGAAAAAAATCGATTTTTCTGTTTTAGTAGAACTTTTTTTTAATTTTCCTGTTTTAGTGAAAAAAATGATTTTTGCAATTCTGGCAGAAAACCTATTTTTCTGTGAGAAAATATGATTTTACGGTTGTAATGGGAAAATCTGATTTTGTGGTCTTATCGGAAAAAAACCTGATTTACAATTTTTTTTTGGGATTTTCAGGAAAAGTTGATTTTGCAGTTTCGGTAACAAGCGGAGTGAATTGCAAATTACTACAATTAACGCATTTTGACTTTATGTTTTTAAGAAACTTAAACCTCTTTTTCCATAAACATTCTGTAAACAATTTTATAATTTTAAAAAATATTATTTAATCCAAATAGTTATACATTAAAAATAATATTAAAATGTAAAATTATATATCATTTTAAATTTATCTAAATGAATTTAAATGAGTTATTGTAATATTTGCAGATATAAATGGAAAATTCCAATAGACCTATCTTAAAATGAATCTAACAGTATAAATTTTTAATTGGGAAAGTTAATTTAAGTGGGGTGGGTTTTCATATTTTAACATCCATTTTTTTAACACCATATTTTAACATCCCTAGGTATGGATGTAAGGAACAATACCATTGAATTATTTTGGTCTGGAATTTAGAAATTTGGTGGCTCCTATAAATCCAACACCTATGTATGCATGTAATGTTATTAAAGGTTTCAGAAATTAGTAAATTACTTATGAAACTCTCACTTGCGTTAACTACAATGATTTTGTCAATCGTTATTTTTTCTATTTAATTTAACATTATATTTTTTTCTGTTTTTAATTATAACTTTAATTATACAATATATTATATACATAAACAATATAATTAGAAAATTAGTTTAAAAAACTAGCCGAGCGTAGCGCGGCCAAAAGATCTAGTCTACGTAATTGTTCTCTTATTTTGTATTATCACAATTTACCAGGGTTAAAGAAAAAAAGGAAATTAGGATCAAAACTGGTTTAATTTGGTTTAAATCGGAAAATTTGGTTTATTGTATCCCTCTTGATGTAGGTTTAAATTAAGTAAAAGTCCAAAAGGATTTCTCCACAAAATCTAAATCCCTTTACATCAGTAGAGATTCATAAGACACATAGCTTATGACCAATCTTTACATGTCCTATACACACACACATACCTTCTCCACTATCTTTCTATACATTTGATTATATTTCTAGAGAATACTATTCCACTTGAATACTCCAATACTTCAATGCAGAATCTTGAAGATCGAAACAAGTCTTCCACGACAAATTCCCTGTCAAGAAAACATCTCCTTGGACATGAATCATTTACACAACTGATGTAGCTGACGAGGTATGGCACAAAACTTTATATTGCACCTGAAAAGTTACAATCCACAACAATACCATAGGTTAAATATTAGTTTATCCAACAAAAATTACATCATCCTGAAGCAATATATAAGTTTCTAACCTGTGTGTACTCTCCCAAACTGCAACTGCGCATCAAAGTATCTCTAACTCCTCATGATTGTTCACCTACTCAAGACACACGCTCATTTGGTAAGAACCCATCTTCTTTCATTTTCCTAAACAACGCATCAGCTTCACGAATCAGGCCTCGCCTACAAAATCCCGTTATCATTGTAGTGTACGTTACAACATTAGGCTTCATTCCTTTGGAGAAAAGACAACAAAACAAATCAAAAGCATCTTCCACCTTACCAACCTTGCACATCCCTTGAATAACAATAGTATACGTAACGATACTAACATCCATTTCTCTCTTCCGCATATACTCAAATATCATCAACGCCTTCTCTACTTTCCCGTTACAACACAAAGCATCTAGCAAAACATTATAGGTCCTGATATCAGGAGGCGCATTGTGAGAACCCATGTGATTAAACACTTCTTGTGCAATATTAGGTTTGCCTACTAGACAGTAACCTTGGATGAAAACCGTGTAAGTGACTGTGTTAGCAGCTACTCCTTTCATAGACATCTCGTTAAAGAGTCTCACACCTTCCTCTACCCTCTTGGACTTGCAGAATCCATGTATGAGAGTAGTATAAGTCACTATATTCGGAACACATCCCTTTCTCTCCATCAAATTAAACATTCTCATAGCCTCATCTAAACCCTTTTTGGTCAAACTTAATTAAATATTTCACATAATTTGACCACAAAATACATACACTCCATATATTATTAACCAAAGTCTAAAATGAGTTCAGTTCCAAATAAATATTTTTATATTACTATATATTGGTTTATCCAGTCAATTTTAAGAGAAATGTACTTATGTTTAAGTGAATTATCTCGAAAACGTATCACACTGATTGATTAAAATTTGAAATACTTTCCAGTTAATATCAAGAGATAGACCGTGTCATCTGCTATGGCACACCATATCTAAACTATTAATGGGGAAATACCAAAAAAAAAATTATTAGTTTTCTTCAAAAATTATATTAAAATGCCACTGCAATTCAAACATTATAGTTTATTCTTATATGAACTTCAATATAGGTTTAAATTCCATTAATTTTAAATCAAAACAAAATTGCTCAATTCAATTTTAAAAATAATATTTATTAATAAAATTGCTAAAACTCTTATTTTCTTGTTTTCTTGTGAATCTTTTTTAATTGTTGTTGTCTAAATAATTTATTTTTAAAACCCAAATTCACACTAGACAATTATTAATAATTTAGTTTCGAACGACAATCAAACTTGAAACCAACATGGACGAATACACAATGAGCACCAAGATGTTACGACCACTTGTTCCAAATAACTATTAGAAAATCTACTTGAAATGCTCTAAATCATGTTTATACTACTTGCTATCAATATCAAATAATAATCAAAACCACTAAGGAACATCCACGCGGCAAAAATCACTTCATCTCTTCTCCACCCCGCTCAATATCCGATTCGGTCATCACTATCCCGCAGCTTGACGACGGCTCTGATTGAGACGGAGCGCCAGCAGAAGAAGAAACCACCACCGGTTCAGGAGAAATCGTGATCACGACTTGCTCCTCCACCGTCGTTGCGGGAAACTCAACAAGGGAGCGGCAGAGAGGACATGTGGAATGAGAATGAAACCACATATCAATACATTCAACATGAAAAGCGTGTTTACAACCGTGCAAAACCCGAGTTAATTCTCCCTCCTCGAACTCGGAAAGACAAACGGAGCAATCAGACAGACTCTCATCATCATCATCGTCGTCGGAGGAGGAGGAGAAAGTGACAACAGGGAGAGAATTAACGACGGCGGGATCTAGACCGTGCGAGGCGGTATGAGAAGGATTAGTGGGGACGAAGAAAACCATTGTACGGCTGCGGATGTGATGATGACTCGTAGAGCGGGAGACACAACAGTGATCTTTGAAAAGGCCGAAGAACAAATACACGAAGAAGAAGATGACGAGTGCATGGACGAATATCACCAACGGGTCATTATGCTCGTTGAAGTACATGATGATGATTCTGACGATGATTCTGACGATGAATCATGAGCTTAATGAGTGGTTTTAAGACTAGTATCGTGAGAGAAAGAGAGCTTTATGAGTGATGAGAAAGATGACAGTCAAAAATTGACACATAAATTTTCTCTTTGACCATTTTCCCTTTCCTTTTGTACCCTCAATATTTAATTTAGAGATGTACTCAAATTCAAGGGAAAATACTACAAAAAAAAAAAAATTAAAGAATACTCTCATTTGCCAAAGTTCCAAATAATAATCATCTTCTGTTTGACCAAATAATTGTATTCTTATATTCACCAAAAATATACCTTGTTATTAAAAATAAATAAATATAGAATTCATTTTTATGGCTAAATTATAGATTTCTTATCATTTTTAAGGCTACATTATAAGGAAACTGATATGTGGAAATCTTTTTAATCCAATGATTTGACTAAAAGTTTATTAATGATTTTACATTATGCTCCCACTTCAAAAAATATGAATTATGCATACTATTGGAAATAATTTTACAATAGAATTGTTGAATGCAATGTCGGCTATTTAATTGTACTTATAGTTTGTAATATCACAATTAATTTACTGTTATAGGAAGAAAAAGAAGTAATGATCAAAATGGTTTTGTTTGGTTTAAATTCCGGTTTCTTGTATCCAAAAGGATTTACATTAAGTAAAGTACAAAAGGATTGCTTCACAAAATCCAAAACCCTTTACACCAGTAGAGAGATTCATAAGACACAAAGCTCAACAAGCTTCTTGAATCTTGACCAATCTTTACATGTCCTATAAACACACATACATACCTTCTCCACTATCTATCTATCCATTTGATTAGATTTCTAGAGAATACTATTCCACTTCAAATACTCCAATCATTGCAGAATCTTGAAGATAGAAACAAGTCTTCAACGAAAATAAATACTTGTCAAGAAAACATCTCCTTGGACATGAATCATTTACACAAACTGGTGTAGCTGACGAGGTATGGCACAAAACTTCATATTGCACCTGAAAAGTTACATTCCACAACAATATCATAGGGTCAATATTAGTTTATCCATCAAACATACATCATCCTGAAGCAATATATAAGTTTCTAACCTCTGTGTCCTCTCCCCAAATTGCAACTCCACCATCATATGCTTTGAGATCAAAGTATCTCTAACTCCACATGATTGTTCACCTACTTAAGACACACGCTCATTTGGTAAGAACCCATCTTCTTTCATTTTCCTAAACAACGCATCAGCTTCATGAATCAGGCCTCGCCTACAAAATCCCATTATCATTGTAGTGTACGTTACAACATTAGGCTTCATTCCCTTGGAGAAAAGACTACAAAACAAATCAAAAGCATCTTCCACTTTACCAACCTTGCACATCCCTTGAATAACAATGGTATACGTGACAATACTAACATCCATTTCTCTCTTCCGCATGTACTCAAATATCATCAACGCCTTCTCTACTTTCCCGTTACAACACAGACCATCTAGCAAAACATTGTAGGTCCTGACATCAGGACACGCATTGTGAGAAGAAACCATATGCTTGAACACTTGTTCTGCAACATCAGGTCTGCCCACTAGACAATAACCCTGGATAAAGACCGTGTAAGTGACTGTATTGGCAGCTAATCCTCTCCGAGACATCTCGTTAAAGAGTCTCACACCTTCCTCTACCCTCTTGGACTTGCAGAATCCATGTATGAGAGTAGTATAAGTCACTATATTCGGAACACATCCCTTTCTCTTCATCAAGTTAAACATTCTCATAGCCTCATCTAAGCGTCCACACATGCAAAACCCATTGATCAAAGAGTTGTAAGTAAACACATTAGGCTCTACAGACATCTCCCTCATCACCTCATACAACTCCACAGCATCTAAAACCCTCCCAACCTTCACAAACCCATCGATCAACGCGGTGAAAGTGATCACATTAGGTCCAACTCTCCTCTCCATCATCTCCCTCAGAAACAGAGCCGCATCTCCCAATCTACCACAATCACAAAAACCACTCACTAAAGAGTTGTAAGTAACAACATTAGCTCTAACCCCATCACTCTCCATCCGCTTAAAAAGCTCCACCGCGTGATCAACATCTCTGTTCTTACAAAGACAATGAATCAAACCAGTGTAGGTCACAACATTAGGTCTAAAACCCATCTCAACAACCTTAACAAACAAACCCAAAGCATCATCAACTCTATCCTTACAACAAAACCCATTAATCAGAGAAGTAAACGTGAAGACATCAGGCTCAAACCCAAGCTTCAACATCTTCCCAAGAAAGGCGAAAGAAGTGTAAGGATGCCGTGAGGATTGGGATAAACAGTTGATTACAATGTTGCAAGTGTAGAGAAGAGGTGAGGAGGAGACTCCAAAAAGGTTTCGCATTTGGTCGAAGAGAGAGACTACTACGACGTCGTATCTTCTCCCCTCATCGTTCTGAATCTTGGAGATGGCGGTGAGGAGTCTGGTGAAATCGCCTAAGGAAGGGAGGGGGTGGGAGTGAGACATGTGTGTGAATAGAGAGAGAGCTTCGTTGAGGTGGAGGTTTTGGAGATTGGTTCTTAGAGTTTGTCGGTGGTTGGAGAAGGATCTGTGTCTGTAAAGAAGGAAGCTTTTGGTTATAGATGCGGACCAAGTGGCGATGGATCTACGCATTCACAATTTATGACGAAGAAGATGTCATTTCACTGTAAAACCCTAAACCCTTGCAACTAAAATCGTGGTCGGAGAATGATGGAAGAGGATGATAAAACATAACTTAACTCCCTGGTTCTGAAAGAGAGGCGTCTAATTTTTCTTTATTATTCTATAAAAATAAAATTATTGCATTTGCAATTTTACAACAGACAAAACTATTTGTTTGTAAATGGTTATATTTCTACTTGAACTGTTTTTTGAAAATCTACGCTTCATAGTTTTTTTTTGTACCATGTTAATGAATCAAAAATTTTTTTACCGAATTAGTTCTATATTTTTTATGAATAATAATTAAGAAATTCATAGGTAAAGCAATTATTGTTGTTACAGAAATACGATTAATAAACGCTTTTACTTATGGACGAAAATAATAATGATCTGAGGAAAAATGTTAGTAAGCCCCTGCTTTGTGGTGACCAACAAATCTTCTTAGTAAGTAGTTGTAAGATGACCATTAGTTGATGGATCAGTCACACGCCCAATTCTTAGTGTGAAAGTTCATACTTTCATTAAAAAATATTGATATACATAATACATCATTCTTAGTGACCAATAAGTTAACAAGACATCATGATACAAAAAAAGAAGTCAGGGTAAGAGATTTTAAAGGACACTAGCAGCTCAACAATGGCTTTACACGCCTACCGACATCAAACTGAACTTCAGAAAGACCTGTGATTCCAGCGGTTATCTTCTGACCGATCTTCACAGGTCCAATACCTTCTGGTGTACCTATACATACATTCACCAACTTTCCTCACAATACTATCATGAATTCTCAGATATAGTGAAATCAAACCACTAACTCCAAGTCTCCAATGTTACAAGTATTGGTTCCACCTTTAATTACCTGTCAAGATGACATCTCCTTTGAAAAGAGTCATTACAGAACTTATGTAGCTGATGAGGTATGGGACCTTGTAGATCATATCCTTTGTCCAACTCTTTTGTCTTATCTCATCATCAACCTATCACAGAAATTGGAATCTTAATAAAAAGTATTAAACATAGATAGTTTCATTGTGACAACAGAGCAGGAGGAACCAAACCTTTAGCCAGAGTTCTAGGTTATTAGGATCAACCACCATTGCTTTTGGTAGCTTAAACCCAACAAAAATAAACAAAACTCAAGATTAGAGGTCAAACTGTTAGCTAGTAGTTAGCTAATATTAGTATGTTAATGTTTGTTCCGTAGATATGGTAACAAGTTCCAGATCATGAACTTACAACAGAGCTGATGGGAGTGAAGGTATCCTGTGCTTTAGCAAGTGTACATGGCAGCCCAGATGCCTACAGAATACAAGAATATAAACACACACACATTATAAAATGATGTATGTAACAAAGAGAAATGGTATAATATACCATGGCAGAAGCGTGGTATTCCTTAGCAGTCATATCAAGAGCAAGCGCATATCCTATCAAAATAAGAACATGAATATACAGATCAAAACTGATATAAACACTAAGATGACGAACAATGTCACATTAGAACATACCAAAGCCACAACACAAAAACCACCACATACTTAATAACCATCAAGAACCTTAATGCAGACAAATGTTTGTGTTTGAAGTACCTCCGATGTAATCCATAGCTAACCGTTCTGGAACATCTCTAGCCTTGTCTCCAATCACCACAGCGAGTTCCACCTCATGGTGAAGTGAATCCAGAGGATGTGGGATCTCTATTGTTCCACCGTTTTCCAGGTAAGAAGATGTTGGCTTTAAGAACACAATCGGGTCCTACTTCCAGACCACAAAACAGACAAGATACAACAAAAAAATCAAGATCAAAGAAGAGGAAGTGAAGAAGATGCAACAAAGTGTGTACCTTTGGGAGAGCGTTGCCAATGCCAAGTTCTTTGGCGTGTGAAGCGTAATTGAGTCCAACGCCTACGATCTTCGTGCCTTGCTTGAACATCCTCTGTATCATCGAAGTCGCCATTTTTAAGTCAACCCGGATCTTCTCAGCTCCGCACTGTTCGTTTTGTCTGGAAAAAGATTCGTTGTTGACCGCGTTACCGAGTCCACTCGGTGAGATCAAGGGTCAAAGTGAAAAGCTTTAAAAGTAAGTGGCCCAAAGTGGAAAAAAGTATAATGTTTGGACCTATTACTGCAAATAGCTATGATTCACAAATTAAGACATCACTTCGCGATGTGGACTTTCAAGACAAGACTTAATTAGGACAGACATAGTTTTTTTTTCTTTTTTTTTTTTGACAGACATAGCTAGTCTGGACATGTAGAAACTTTTCTTTATTTAAAAAAGTTTTAAAGATTAATTAAGTTGATCTCGCAACTCACATGATCAAATTATCAACGACTTTTGTTTAGGGAAACGTGTTAGCAAGATTAATCAAAATCTCGAAGACTTAATCAGACATAAAAACTTGAAAGTTGTTACAAAGAAAAAAAAAGATTAATTAACTTGATCTCGCAACTCACATGATCAATTACCAACGACCTTTTTTTTTGGAAACGTGTTAGCAAGATTAATCAAAATCTCGAAGACTTAATCAGACATGAAACTTGAAAGTTGTATATATCCTCAGTCAGAATCATTTTTTGCAGATCTTCAGATTCTTTTTCTATAACATGTACTATATATTATATGAAGGCAGATAAACTTCTATAAAGAGTATTTTCCACATTTTAGATATATGTGTTTTATATTGATTTCACGCATAGTTCTAAGTAAACAGTCTTAATTTGTATGTGTTTCAAAAAGAAAACAGTTTTAATTTGTATGCGACTTTTGCAGGTTAAATATTTATTATAGACAATATATTGTTATATATCTGGGTCAAATGTTATGTTTAAACTAGTAACATTTAAATTTCCATAACTAAATATTAATAGTTCTTGGAAACACTAAATTGGTGTAATAACAACACACCGGAAATGAAAGAAGTATATAAATTTTGTTGATTCGGGTCAAATATGTAATTTAAAGTAACATTTTTAAATTAGCATAGATTTTGTAAGTAACTATTATGTATTACCAAAGGTCCAAAACACGTTTAATCGGTAAAAGTAAAACAAACAAATTATCTAAGACGAGAGATGCATATCCAACTTTGGCTTACTTAAATGTCCAGGTCAAACATTTAGCCTAAGTTAAAGTTTAAATGTATCGCACGTTTTTAAATAAACTTTATTAACTATTAAAATATGTTTAATCCATAAATAAACAACTTATCCAAATGAGGAATGCAGTATAATTAATTCTTATTGTCTTATGATTGTTGAAGTTATTTTCTTTTGGTTCTTTTGATGGTTTATATAAACCTTTTGGGTCTAAAAGCCGATGTTGAGCTGTTTTGGTATGGACTTGAACTAAACATCAATTACGTGCTAAATAATGCTATTGTTTAATGCTTTCTTAAGAAATACTGTTTGTATTAGTTTTACACTAAATTAGATTTAGTCAATGCTATTACATCCATTAAAATCTTTAGTAAATCACTTATTTCAATTACAGCAAGGGTATTAAAAGATTACAAAAGGATCAAGGGAATTATTCGACCTGAAAAAGAGATTAGTGTAGAATATGGTATGCACGATACTACTCTTATCCTTAATCAAATATTCACGAGATACATGAGGCCTTTTATTTTAACATTAGCGCCCTGTCATGTACTCGTTTTGCTGTCTGAAAGAGAATTTATTTATTAACTATTGATCATAAACTCAAATATATGTATTTTGACCCCCCAAAAAAAAAAAAAAACTCAAATATATGTATATAAATATCCATCATGTGGAAAGATAAAAACAAAGTCGACTCTTCTAATCCTCTTTGACCACTATTTATTTCTCTGTCTTCCTCAAAAACTCACCCGAGAGATATGGCAGAACTAAGTTTCTATGTTGGAGTCATAGGTAACCTCATCATCTTCTTTGCAAGTGATTTAAATTACATCAAATGATCATATTATACATTCACAACCATAAGTGTATCTATATTGTTATAGCTAAGCAGTTTTTGTATATATGATCGATGCAGGAAATGTGATATCGGTTCTTGTCTTCCTCTCTCCTGTGTGAGTTACCTCTCTCTTTCTTTCAATAATTTTGTTTGATCTAATAATAGATTATTTGAATTATGAGAAACAGGTTATGAACTAATTGAATTACATTTAAATTATTTTTATTAGAGAGACGTTTTGGAGGATAGTGAAACGGAGATCGACGGAGCAGTATGAGTGTTTGCCGTACATCTGCACTTTGATGAGTTCGTCTTTATGGACATACTACGGAATAGTGACAC